TTTGTCCGTTGTTGACGGAGTGGAGTTAGTGGTCACACTAGCTTCCATTGCCGAGGTTCTCCACTGTTCCATGGACACTACCAATGCAGAGCAGTTCCCGGTGTTCACTCGGGAACTCACAGTCTCGACACTAGTGACCGAATTTTATGAGGGGCGGCAAGATGATGATAACTGCACTAGCATCTGTCGGTCTAACTTAACCCGTTGCCTCCTCTTCGTTGATGTGGTTCTTAAAAAGAATGTCATCCCTCTAGGCTACAAGGAAGAGCAGCGAGGGGACTTCCTCCGTGTCTTGCACCGATTTGACTTTGGGTTTTGGATCGACATCCCTGTTTGATCTTCAACCAGATGACCTGTATCCTTAATGAAGTCAAGTTGCGCAACACCCGAGGCGGTTCTACACGGGCCCTCCCTTTCGCCAACCTCATCACTGCACTCATAAAAGGCCAAGGAACATACCCACTCGACCCAATGAGGTTCAGCTTTCGCCGCCAACGCTTTATGGTAAAACCCAATGGCGCCAAACCACTGTTCGCCTGCCGTCTCCACTACTCCTCGATGCCCCGGCCAATCCTAATGATGTTTTGGTAGAGCTTGTCGCCACGCCAGCGCCACTGCCATTCTGTATGATGCGGGCGCAATATCAGGCTATTTTGGATAATCAAGGCACCATTTAGTTGCTTACTATCTACTTTATAGTTGCTTACATTGAGAACAATGTTGTATTTCAGTTGGGGGGTGAGGGTATTTATAAAAACAATTCATGTTTGTACTTACTGTACTTGATTGCACCACTTCGCTTGATGTTCACTTTGTGTCAGTATGGTGGTGATATAAGCATATGTTAATTAGGGAACATAGTGGACTTGTATGAAAAAGGGTTTATTAGATAAATACTCGCATGTGATGTTTGCACTAGGAGAGTTGTTTGTGTTTGTGATATTAGTACACTAGTCATGAGTATGCCTTGATTCACATGAACGCACTTTCATAGCGGTGACCTCTCTATTCTAATCCTTAGTGTACATTATTGATAATTGCTAGTGTTGTAGGAAAAAATAAATGAGTAGCCTTGATCCTCATAAAAAAATAAAATAAAAATAATATTAAATAAAAATAAAAAACTTGACTTGTTTGGATTCGGAGTCTCTTTAACTCGAGTTATTAAGCCCGTAAGGGTGTCTGTACACCTAGTGCCTTAAAACCGTCTGGTTTGGGAGTCATTGGCCCAATACTTGTTACATGAGTTAATTAGAAAGCTTAATGCTGTGTTTGGTTGAGGGATTTGAGGAGAGATTTGGAAAGGGAAATGGAAAAGGTAGGTGAAATGTAAAAAAAATATACCTATATTTCACATAGTTTCACACTCCTTTTCCCTTTCCCATTCCAAATCCCTCTCTAAATCTCTCAACCAAACACAGCATAAGGGACCTAGACATTGCACAGTTAAGGAAAAAAATAAAGACTTGTTCTGGTTCGTAGCTTTTTCAACTCGAGTTATTAAGCCCGTAGAGGTGTCTTCACACCTAGTGCATTAAAACAGTTTGGTTTGGGAGTCATTGGCCTATTGCTTGTTACATGGGTTGATTAGAAAGCTTAATGGATCAGGACATTGCACAGTCTTTCAAAAAAAAAAAAAAAAAAAGGAAAAGAAAAAAAAAAAAAGAATCTTGGTTGCAAAAGTTTAGTTTTTCTGTATATGTTGGGTGTTGTTGTGAGTTACATTGGGCTATTATAGTGGACAGTTAACTAGTTATGGGGAATGCACTTTACACCAAGTGTACTTTTGATGTGTTCACTAGCATTCGCAAGCACAAGGGACTTGACTTTTGTAATAATTGAATTGTGATTTTTGCTCAATAGATTCCTTCATGCTTGTCCACTGTGCCTTCAATGACTCATGTCTTAATGTCACATTGTAGTTGACACATAAGTTAATTGAGAGTTGGAGTAGTGTGATTACTTGTTGTTAGGCAGATGTGAATATGTTGTTGTTTGTGAGTATCATATTTGGAAACTCTCACAAGACTATACTCGTCCACTTGGAGTAACCTTGTGATTTAAAGGCTTGTTGCATATGCTAAATGCAATCATGATCCCTACGAAAGTGGTTGAGAGTATTTTCTTTTTCTTATTTCTATTGTTTTGCTCGAGGACTAGCAAAATGGAAGATGTGATGTAGGCCGAAAGGTACCACATTGAGGCCGTTTAAGTTACATTTATAGTATTTGAATTTTGTTTATTTTGTGGAGATGATGTGTTTTGTGCACTTGTATAGATTTGGCAGACAACACGCAGATTCAAACAAAAAGTGGTGCAAAAGCAAATTTTCCGTGCGACTAGTGAAAAGTCCCGGCTTGCCACCTCACCGCATGTGCAGCCAAGCTCCACTGCACGTGTGGCCCACCACTGCTCGAGCGCTGCTTGAGCGGTCCACCTAGGGTTGCGTGTGAAAATTTAAGGCTCTTTTTTTTTGGGTTGGTAAAAGGCTCTTTTGCTAGGAATAAAAGGAAAAAAAAAAAGGCTGTGACCAGGTTCGAAAATATTCCAAAAAAAAGGGGGAGAGAGGCTAGGGTTTGGAGAAAGATAATTTGAAGCTTGAAAAATGTCTCCCATGGTGGCTTCTTCTTCCTTCACCTCTTCCCTCTCCTCCATGAGTGGCTAGGCTCCTATTTCTAGGGTTTTGATGAAACCCTAGCCAAGCAAATAGGGTTTTCTTTTTACTTTTTGATTCTGTAAAGGTTTGAACAAATTGTATAGTGTTTAAAAAGTTTCAAATATATTTTTCAGTATTCTCTTCAACTATTCTTCTTTCTGTAATTGTTGAATGCTTTCCATACAATGGTTTTCTATGTTTTCATGTTTAAGGTATGAGACAAGTCATACTACGAGGGATGAATCGTGTTGCTACCTTAGTTTAGAGCGAACGACTCGTACTACTTGAGATGGTTCATGCCTATATATTGAATGTGTTAATTTTCTCGATAAATGCTTTGAGTTTGTAGTTGCGAAGTATTATTTAGTTCGAACCGTAACATAATTGAATCTTAAATTGAAGCCTTATTTATGTAACTAGTGGTGGACTCGTTACTCTAGGTTTTTCCCAAAAATCAATAATTCCAATTTTATTTATAATTGCTAGTTTAATCTTAGTTTATTTGAGTTATTACTAGTTTATGAATCCCTCAATCTTTTTATCGAAATTAACTTAGGAGTCTAACAATTAAATTAGTTTAATTTCCCATTTGTCCCTGTGGATCGATACTTAGACTTACCATTATTTTAAGGAATTTGTATAGTTTAGTGTTTATTTTTGGTGTGTGAAATGACCCATCACTTAGTTTTACCGAAGCCTCTTCCACCTCTACCAATTAGCTCCAGCCATCACTTGAAGCCCACACCAGCCCACCCATCAACGCGACACCCTCCATCGCAGAAGATGTCGACACTCACCTCCATTGCACAACCCCCCGACAACAAATCTCATGTTCAAAAACTAAATTCCACTTGTTTTGTCTCAGCAAGCAGACCTCTATAGTGAATCTCTGTAGTGAAGCTCAATGCCCTAGATTTAGCGAAGCTCTAAGAAAGTCAAAAAATCTAGAAAATATGCAGAGATGTAGAGCTATAAAGCACGGGTACGGGTACGGATACGGGTACGAGTACTGGTACTGGTACAATACGAGTATGTCGATACGGTAAAATTAAAAAAAATATGGTACAGGTATGGCTTGGTACGCTTGTAAAAAAAATATTTATTTTTAATTTTGAGTAATGCAAAAATTAATTAAATGGTTTAATTTGTTAAGGTCCAACCTACAATTAACAGTTAATGCCAAAAGTAAAGATATAAATCAAAATTAAATGTCAATATATTAAATAACTTACAAATCATAGTTTAATTTTAAAATCATGCTAAGCATAAAACAAAAAATAAAAAAGAAGTCTAGTGAAAAGAATTTTGTCTTTGTAGTAGAAGAAAATATTGTTTCAACTAAGATACGGTACGGCTTAGGTATATACTAGGTATGTATAGGTATGCCAAAAATTAAGAAAAATTTTGAGTACGTGTTTTGTGTATCCGGTACGTTTACAGAAGGATTATACGAGATACCATACACCGTAAGAACCCGGTACGGATATGGTATGTTTTTCGAAATACCCATGCTTCATAGATGTAGAGAGAATGAGAGAGGAGTGTATATGTATATGTATAGAGAGAGCACGCCAATCACTGACTTGTTTGACAACTGATAATGGATTGTGTGATTGATTTATCTGGGTGTGGCTCAATTCACCATCTGTCTAATGGGGGAGGAAAGAGCAATAGGGGAAGAGAGCAGTGGAGCGTTTCAGTGCATTGGGGAATCGGAGAGCAAAATTTCAAAGATTCTGAAGTAGGTCTTTCCAAAGGATCAAAGGGAATGGAGTCTGGGATGTATGTCCAGATTGGAGTGGGGCTGGGGGAGGGGGTTGGTTCGGTGTGGGCAGGTTTGGTGGGGAAAAGAGGAAGAAGAGTGGAAGTCAAAATAGGCTCCTTTCCAACATATTTAACAACTATGACACTAGGAATAGGCTTCATTCCTTAATTTTGCTTCAATAAATTTTTGTGATTACATATTTATGGTGGTTAAACTGGACTTGGTCTTGATTTGGATTTTTTTTCTTCCTATGTTTTGTTAACTGTTGGTATTTAAAGAAGTATCTCTGATGTCACTGAGATGATATTCTTGTTTAATGATACAGATGTATCTTCTTTCTTTCGTTCTGTAGTCGTTTTACATTTTTTGTTTTATGTCTTCCTTTATTTGATGAAAGGTAACTCTCTGTGGGTAAACTTTTTTTCTGCTTGATTATGGTCCTAGGAGAATGATACAGATGTATCTTCTTTCTTTCCTTCTTTCATTGTTTTTCATTTTTTGTTTTATGTCTTCCTTTATTTTGATGAAAGGTAACTCTCTCTGTGGGTAAACTTTTTTTCTGATTGATTATGGTACTAGGAGATAATATATTTGGAACAAGCTCTCCTGATGCTGCAGAATCAATGTTTGAAGCTTTTGGTCCTGTCATGGAATCTAGACTTCCTTGGGCAGCAGTTTTAGGGAACCATGACCAAGAATCTACTATGACTCGGGTAGAACTGATGTCTTTCATCTCTCTTATGGATTATTCAGTCTCACAAACCAATCCATTGGCAGAAGAGACTTCTGATCCTGCCAAAGAAAGCCTAGTTAGAGACATTGATGGGTTTGGCAATTACAATCTTAGAGTATGGGGTGCATCAGGGTCACATTTGGCCAATCACAGTGTTCTCAATCTCTACTTTCTTGATAGTGGAGACAGAGCAATTGTTGGAGGAGTTCGAACTTATGGATGGATTAAAGAATCCCAACTCCGTTGGCTTCATGGTGTTTCTAAAGCTTTTCAGGTATGATTGACTGAACAATGGCAACACAATTAATACAAACTTTCTATCTTAAGGTAGCATTTTGTTGCATTTCACCATGATAACTCCAACTTTTTTCTAGATTGAGAAAAGTTGTTAACTTATTTGTTTGAATGCAATTAAACTGTATTTTCTAGATGGATCATTGATTCTTTCTCGTTCTCTTTTCTTTCAAACACTAACAAACATAGGTTCAACACCCTGTTTCATGTACTCTTTATTTTCTCCCTTACAATGGCCATTTTTATTGAACTCTCACAATGTAGGTTTTGTAGATTTAGATTTCATTAACATGTTGCAGGTCACACACTAACAGGGACAAAATCTGGATAATGAACAATCAGTAGATGTGCCTTCACCACCAGGCACACCCCCAGCATTGACATTCTTCCACATTCCAATACCCGAGATCCACCAAGTAAAAGGGATTGTAGGTCAGTATCAGGAATACGCGGCCTGTTCATCAGTTAACTCCGGAGTATTAAAAACTCTTGTATCCATGGGAGATGTGAAGGCTGTGTTCACAGGTCATGATCACACCAATGACTTCTGTGGGAATCTAGATGGTATATGGTTTTGTTATGGTGGAGGCTTTGGATATCACGGTTATGGTAGGGCAGGGTGGCCAAGGAGAGCGAGAGTCATATTGGCAGAACTTGGTAAGGGTGAGAAATCATGGGTAGGAGTGGAAAACATCAAGACATGGAAGCGACTTGATGACAAGAAGCTGAGCAAGATTGATGAGCAAATCTTATGGGATGGGCATTCATCAAGATGACGAGGTTGCAGGTACAGGAATAGCATTCTTCTTATCCAATAATATATGCTTCCTCTTGCTATTATTCCTATTGCTTCTTGTGGTTTTCATATATACAGCTTGCTTTGGGGTAGAAGTTTAGTTGTTGATGTGCTCCTTTTTTTTCTACATTATAATTGTGACTAAACCATTAATAGTATATGTAGTGAAACCATTAATAGTATATGTAGTGATGCCAAGCCTCTAGGGTTCAAATTTTGGGCCATGTTGAAAAGCCATTATTCTAACATTTGTGGATGCTTTCACAAAGTTTGTTGAGCAATTATGCTTGTTTGATAACACAATTAAGTGCTTAAATCTGAACTCAATTCAATGGCTAAAATCAAGTGTAAATTATTAGCAAGTCCTAATAATTGGACTTAATCCCCATTAAGTCCTATCAATTTGTCGCTGAAAGTTGTTCCTAACAGAATTGTTAATATAAACGGACAATTAGCGATGTTTTTCTGAATCTATCACTAAAAATTGACAATTAGCAATGCCTTTCTATGACGAATTTTTCAAACTGTCGCTAAAAACTAACAATTAGTGACACTTCATTATAAAAATATTGCTAATTATCATAGGATCTATTAGACAATAAGTCCACCTATTGGGATCTGCACGTAAGTCCCCCTAAAATCAACTTGGAAGTGCTGAAATTTACTTGTCAACATAATAATCAGCAAAATTTACCAAGGATCAAGAGAAACTGGAGAAATATATTTCTTGCAACTCTCTTCTGCTATCAGTTTCACAGTTCTGCTTCTAGCCCAGTGAAGTGATGGCTCCGTTTTTGATATGTTTTTACTATGTCTTTTCTATTGTTTCTTCATTTTGAAGCTAACCAGGCTAATTTTAGCCACATATTTGATTACCGAAGAACAATTTTAAAATTCTGATAAATGTGTTGTGATTATTTTAGATAGAAGTTTAGGACCTCATTTTGACAGCCACGGTTTTAATAAATTTGTCCTCAGATATTTCCTTTGACGTTATGCATAAATGTAGTTATAACTTATGTGAAAGTAATGTTAAATTCTTCTATTCACTTACATATTAATTAAACATGGATTTTTGTAGGATTACCCTTGCCCTGCAGACCGTGAAGTGTGTATTTTTTGCAGCCTTGTTTAATTGCTGTTGTATTGCTTTAATGTAGCTTTGTTGTTCAAAATGTAGTTGTATAATAATGTACATTTAATCATAAGTAACCATTGGATTCCCATCTCTATAGACTGTTTTGTAGGATTTGAAGATCAAAGTTAAAATAGATGGACTTCTTGTTACAAGATTTTTGTATCTCATTCTACATTTTTTTGGTATTAGACCAAACTTGCCACAGGGAATCTCATTCCCAAACCCCTCCCCACCACATAATCAAGGTTGAGGAAGATTGATTGTGTGGTAGAGAGAGGGTCCTAAACAGGAGAGATTGAGGACAAGAGTTTTGGTCTCACCAATCTAGTTATATTACTGTTAAAATATATATATATATATATATATATACTCCGGTAGTGCAGTATGGATAATGTTAGAGATATCAAATTTTCTATCAAACAAATGACCAAATGTCTCACATGAGAGTGAAGTTTGTAGACTCCACACCCATGTGAGATATTTGGTCATTTGTTTGGTAAAACATTTGGGGCCTATATCATTTTCCGTACAATTTATTTGTGCTAAATTTGGACACTTTTTTTTTTTTTTTTTTTGTTACTATCAAATTTGGCACATGAAATGATTGTGTTTTTATACTATACATTTCACCGTTGTGTTTCTGATAAAATTTGTTCTTCATTATAATTGGAGTTTAATTTATTTCTATTTATATATATGTTATGCGAAGAGAAATTGAGTGAGTGGGGTCATTTTGGCGCAAATGAATCAAGACAAGTGACGTGTGAAGATAAAAATTATATTTATGCACAAATTTATGTATTTATTTTGTAACTTTGACTTAAATTAATGAATTGAAGTTATATTAGAAAAAATTGATGGTTGGAGAATGGTGGTTGATTAGGTATATATAGTACATAAAAGGAATATTACACTGTAGTTTGTAGTAAATTAGTATAAAATATACTTTATTGTGTTAAAATAATCCAAAAAATACTAACAATTACAATATGTGAATGTCAAAAACTGTCATTTGTCAATTTTGTCATTAGAGTGAGATGAAAATGGAAATTTTGAAAAAAACCCAAAACAAAAACTGAATTTGTCACCAGCCAAAGCAATTTGTGATACATCGTGCTATATATAATTTTATTCTCTCTCTTAAACACATAATAATGAAACTTCTATCGATAAATGCACATGAAATCTAGAAGAAAAAAAGAAATAAAATGAAATTATGTATAATATTTTTGTAACAAAATAATATTAAAGGCACATCCCTTTTTATACCGTTTTGCACCGTATACTTTATGGGTACAATCGGTACAAAATAGTATAAAAATGGCTTCTGCACTTTTATTATAGCCTCATCTAATTTTTCTTTTTCTCTTTCTAGTGCCCGATCAAATCCATTCCAATCGGATCGGTAAAATCTATAATAGGTCCTATTGTTGTGATGGTTTGAGTAGTTCATTTTGTAGTTTTTTTTGTATGTAGATTATTCTTTAAAAAAAATTAAGATTAATTCAATAATTATAGTGACATGATTTTATCAAGTTTGTTTTAAAAAAAAATAAAAAATGACAAGTATGATTCTCAAACAAATTGTTCATTTTTAAAGATAAATCTAATGCAATATGTAACTACAGTTATTGGAACAATTTAAATGTTTTTTTCCTCGTCATATATCATTTACATAGAGAACGATTCAAATAACCAGTGTAGAAATTGTGATTAGCTTCATAGGTTGATTTGCAGCAAACAAGACTTCAAATAACAAGACTTCTTCATAGGTGATCACCTAATCCCTTCTATGCTTCTTTCTCAGTCTCCTTACATTTTATTAGTTTATGTGATTGTTTACGTTAGCAGCAAAAATGATCCTATGAATCAATCTAATTTAGGGATATCTGAGAAAAAAAAAAAAAAGGTGGGTAGATTGGGACACACGACTTGGAATATTCTTTTAGTCAGCTTTGAAAACCCTAATTAAAACATATTAAAAACATTTTCTAGATGAAAAATATTATACAAGTTAACAAACCTCACCAATAAATGTAATATGTAGAAATAAAATAAGGTAAATTACATTGATATCCTTTATGTTGTGTTTGGTTGGAGGATTTGGGGATGGATTTGGAAAGGGAAAGGAAAAAGATGTGTGAAACTAGGTGAAATTTAGGCATATTTTATTCATATTTCACATACCTTTTCCATTTCCCTTTCCAAATCCCTCAACCAAACACAGCATTAAGGTTTGGAGGAAATATAATAAATTTTATAGTTTTGAAATGATTAAACTAATTTAAGGTAAAGAAATCAAAACTAATGCAAATGATATAAAAATATAAATGCACACCAAGCAAGATATACAATTTGATATAAAAGAGATAATAATATTATTTTTTTATTCACATGACTAATGAATTTTTAATAAAAAGGGGGTCACATGTTATATAAATTAAATTTTTTAAGAAAGTCTATGTGATTATGTTAAATTTGTGAAACTTATTATATTTTATTTAAATCTCAGGAGAATTAATTTGTCCTTAAAGTAAATAGCAAAAGGGCAATATTAAAATTTTATTAAATAGAATAGTAACACTGTTAAAAAAATAATCATCTTTTGAAGAAATGCAAGTAGAATATTATGCATTTTAAAATTCAAGGGAGATAGTGTGATTATATTAAAATTATCAGATTCTTTATAGCATAAATGAGATCAATGTAATTATTCTTTTTCAAAATTGAGGAGTTAAAATGATATTTAGGTCCAATCTGGGGGAAAAAAAATGATATTTAAGTAAGAGTGACAACGAGTTAAATGAGTTGAATAATTAATTATTTAAGCTTGATTTGAAAATTTTAACTAGTTTTAAAATTTAACTTTATTCAAGTTTGGCTTAGTAAATCTTTAACTCGGTCTCAAATGAGTTTTTTTCAAACTAATTCTATAGTAATCTAGTATTTCATATAATTTTAGGCTAATTAAATCGAATCGAAAAATAACCGAATATATTTAATTTGAAAACTTTTACGATTTTTAATTTGTATTTAAGATTTGTTTTCTTTATGAATTGAGCGTTTGGAATTTTCAACGAGCTAAACACGAGCTCGAGTTAATTAACCATTTCTATCAAAAAAACTTACGTATAGGTCATAATAGGTGAATTTATTGTCTAATAAGTCCTATGATAATTAACGACATTTTTTATTAAATACTATTAAAAAACGTTACTAATTATTAATTTTCAGCGACATTTAAAAAATTTGTCACAAAAAGTTACTAATTATAAATTTTAATGACAATTTTAAAAAATCGCCACTGATTTTTAACTTTCAAAGACAATTTAAAAAATTCGTCATAAAAAAAGTCACTAATTATAAATTTTAGTGACAATTTATAAAATTTGTTACAAAATGAAATTATTAATTTTTAGTGATGATTTTAATAAAACTAATTTTCAATAGGACTTAAATGGGAATTAGACTAGCTATTTCAGGTTTGTTTGGAATTTGGGTTACTTTTTTTGGTTTTTTGACTTTTTTAACTTAGGATTAAAAAGTCTTGTTTGGAATGAGTTTTTTAAATTTTTGTGAAAGAAAAAAATATAATAATTATAAGTTGGATGTGAAATTTTGTCTTATTAGATTAAAAAATATATTTTATTTTCTGATAAATTACATTGACACCCCTTGAGGTTTGGTTCAATTACTACCCATCCCCTAACGTTTTAGAAATTACATTTCTACCACTGTGATTAATAGTTTCATTTTACAAACCTCCTGCTTATATAAAAAGTAACAACTCCTAATAAAAAAATAGAAAAAATTACATTAAAAAAAAGAAGTAAAGGAAATGCGAAAAAAAAGAGAAGGTAAAGCAAAACAAAAAAAGAGAGAGTGTATGAGCTTAATGTTTTCATTCCGTCTAAATAATTACAATAATAGGAGGTTAGTGTAATTTTCCCAACGTCAAAAGTGATATATATTATTATATTTTTTTTAGCTAAAGTAATCTAAAAAAAAACCTAAGCTTTTTCTTCCCAAACAAACCCTACATTACCTTTTCCGTTATTTATACAGAGAAGAAAAGAAGAAACGGCGGCTACAAATGATGAAGAAATGGAGTCTCTGCTTCGCACCTTCGATCATATATACGATGTATGCCTCATTCGATGAATATATGTATATATATGTTCCATTTCATGATTCTCTCTCTATTGAATTCAGATTCATTCACTTTTTATTCCAATCGAAATTTGGAATTTACTTAAATTTCTTATATATTCTTATTTAGGATGTGAAGAATGGAATCACACAGATTCAATCCTTGCAATCAAATTGCAACGCCGAAGTTAATAATGGACAAGTTCTTCAACTCATTTCCAATAGCCTCAAACCAGGTAGTTTCGCTCTCGAACTCCATTTTCTAGTTACTCTGTTTGGTTCCCGAGAAAAAAAGAAAGAAAGTAATAGAGTACGGAATTTATGTTTTCTTTTCTTATCCTAAACAGCTTCAAGTCTTCCATTTTGTTTTCTCTTTTCTCCTAAACTGTTTTTTTGTTCTAAATAAACATTTAAAAAAAAAAAAAATTGAAGATGGCACTGCAAATGGGTTTGGTGAAACTATTTCTGAAAGAAATTAAAAATTTTCAAAACAACCCTTTTTGAGTTTCAAAAAATCAGATTCATAAAAAATTAAAACAAAAATAAACACAATTGAGATTTCAAACTTCTCACCTCGCCTTTCACTGTTTTGAAATTAGTAGATTGTCAATTTATTTCAACCAAGTTAGTTTGTTGCGGATTGAAGGAGTATTATTGAGATGAATCACCAGCATTACTGGAGCAGCCCATTGAATTTTGGCAGATGCCTCATTTGGTGATTAGAGCACTAAACATTATGGCATGTGAAAAAGGTCAAAATCTTACTCAATTTGGAGTAACAACTCTTGGGTAAATTACATTTTACCTAGTTGGAGTGTGTTTTATGGCCTAACCACAAGGGGTAAAGTGTGATATACCCTTTTTTGCATATCGATAAGCAACTTAATGAAAACTTTTTTTCCCACCCAATTCTGTTGTATCAACAACCACTATTTTGCAATCGGAAAAAAGAAAATTTGATATCTTTTACCTATGCATGCTGGCATCCCTTTTTTTATTTTTTTATTTAGGACACATGTTTGCAAATAATCAAAATAAAAGATATTGTTATACACAGATAATGAGAGGCTGACAAAGCTGTACGCAGAATCCCTTAACAAGTTGGCTGATCAGAAGAACCTTTTTTTTTTTTTTTTAAATTTTATTTTTAATTTTTGAATTCATCGAATGGAGATTTCCTTCCAACTTATCTTTAAATTAAACATATTTGGTCAAATAAGTGGCGGATACAGTTGGATATATACTTCTATTGACCTAAACTTGTACATTACTATTCTGAATTTTTTGAGTTGTGGTGGAACATTTTCATGACATAACAGCTTGAACGTCGGACCAATTGCCAGAGCTTGAAAGAAGAATTGGTGAGAATGAGAATTGAATATCTTTGGAAGGAAACTGTAAGTATTCTATTTATATTTCAGGCATAATATAAATGCATGCATTGACATCTCATAAGGATTTCACAGAGCAATGAAAAGGGGGCTTTAGGGATGACTGAGGAGAAAAACAAAAAAACATGTGGCATATCATGGTTTTGATTTATAAACTTGATGTCTCTGTTGTGGGTGAAAAAAACCTGTAACATTTTGTTGGACTGGAATACACTCTGAAGTATTGTCACATTTAGGGCTGGAAACGAGGCGAGCCAAGCATTAGAGTGTTTGAGCTTGGCTCAATCTATTTTAAGGATGTTTGAGCTTGAGTCAAGCTAGCCCAGAAAACCTCGATTACCAATTAAGATTAGTTTAGGACCCCATTAAGATGATCATCAAAGTCATCTTGACCAAAACTGAAGGTTGATCCATATATGTCATGAATCGTTTAGGCATTTTGAGTACTTAGGCTTGTAGTGAAGTGTGATGTATAAATGTGAGGTTAAATAAGGGTGTCACATTTGATGTATTAGTATTATTTTAATCATTGTTAATAGTCACATGTGAATAGTCATATGTACTAGTGTCATGTTCAAATCATGTTCAATCATTTGAGTGTTCAATCATTTGAGTGGTCAATAGTCATATGTACTAGTGCCATGATCAATCATTTTCAGTAGTCACATGTGAATTATATGAGTCTCATTTAGCACTAAGTGGGGTTTAATTGAGTTGCAAATGAGATTTATTTAAGTGGTAAGTGGAGTGTCATTAGCTAGTTAAAGAGTAATGGAGTAGTAAGTGGAGTCTATTTGAGTGATAGTAAGTAAGGTTTATTTGAATGGTAAGTAAAGTGTAAAATAGTGGTAAGTGGAGTCTCATTGATTAGTAAGTGTGATTGAATGAAATGGTAAGTCAAGAGTAATGAAGTATTATTTTAATCATTGTTCATATTAATATGTGAATAGTCATATGTACTAGTGTCATGTTCAATAATGTTCAATCATTTGAATGGTCAATAGTTATACGTACTAGTGTCCTGATCAATCATTTTCAATAGTCACATGTGAATTATATGAGTCTCATTCATCATTGAGAGTTACATGTGAATTATATGAGTCTCATTCATCACCAAGTGGGGTTCAATTGAGTTGTAAGTGAGATTTATTTAAGTGGTAAGTTGAGTGTCATTAACTAGTAAGTATAGTTGAATGAAATTGTAAGCAAAGCGTAATAAAGTAGTAAGTGGAGTCTATTTGAGTGGTAGTAAGTGAGGTTTATTTGAGTTGTAAGTTGAGTCTAACAAATTGGTAAGTATAGTCTTTATGAGTAGTAAGTATGATTGAATAAAATGGTAAGCCGAGAGCAACGTAGTAAGTGGAGTCTATTTTAACTGGTAGTAAGTGAGGTTTATTTGACTGGTAAGTAAAGTCTAACAAACTGGTAAGTAGAGTCTTTATGACTACTAAGTATGATTGAATAAAATGGTAAGTCAAGAGCAATGTTAGTAAGTGGAGTCTATTTTAAATGGTAGTAAGTGAGGTTTATTTGAGAGGTAAGTTAAGTCTAACAAATTGGTAAGTAGAGTCTTTTTAACTAGTAAGTATGATTGAATAAAATGGTAAGCCAAGAGTAATGTAGTAAGTGGATTCTATTTTACATGGTAGTAAGTAAGGCTTATTTGAGTGGTAAGTTAAGTCTAACAAATTGGTAAGTAGAGTCTTTATGGCTAGTAACTATGATTAAATAAAATGGTATGCGAAGAGTAATGAAGTAGTAAGCGGACTCTATTTGAGTAGTAGTGAGGTTTATTTGAGTGGAGTCCCATCGACTAGTAAGTATGGTTCAATGAAATGATAAATCAAGAGTAATGAAATAAAAAGTAAAATCTAATAAAATAGTAAGTGCAATCTAATGAAGTACGAAGAAAAATGTCATTGAAGTATAATAAAATGGCAAGTGATAATTAATTCAAATCCTGCTCATGTACAATTTAAATCCAAATTACTAGAAAATGACAAAAATCATATGACTAAAATCCATTTGCTCTACATCCTCTCCAAAACACATTCAGTTGAAATTCACACAATTCAAGTATCAACATGCAACATCAATGATACATGACAATTATCTATCACAAGTAAATTCTATCACTCTTGACCCAATTTTATTGTTTGCATCTAGAACAAGCCCAGTGCCAATCATTGTCTTGCATCCCACGAATCAAATTAAAGCAAACAAACTTTGGAATCAATAAATTGCACCAATTCAAAATACTTGATGATGTGCATTCCATAATCATAGCTATTACATTGTTGTGGATGCCATTCAAGTGTTATAACTAGAAACTTGGTGATTTTATTTGTATATGCATTCTTGTACTGAATTCCCAATAAGTCATGTAATACTTCAACCTGTCATTTACATAACTAATTAGTACGAAAACATGCGATGCAAAATGCAAATAACAATATTGTATAAGGATGTATACCACTTTTTTCACTTGAATTGGCCGAGTTCTACTTCTTCTTGATATATATGGATCAAGGATATATAGCACTTCTTGTTGCATGTATACCACACACATATACCAATGTTCACCCGCATCATTAATTGGAATGAATACATATATTAAATCAATAATCATTGGTTTCATATTCATGAACATATTAAACGAAAATAAAGTGAGAATATAACAAATCAATACCCTTTCACATGATTCAATTTTTCCCGTGCACTGTTCTGTTCCAAAATAGGACTTAAGCATGTTTGGCTTATGAACCTTGTGGTGTAAAATATGTTACTACAACTCATAAAAATTAGTATAAATATCAGTAACACAAGCTTAGTATAGATAAACATGACATGCTACATAGTCAAATGCTTTCAATTGTAAAATGCACAAGTAAATTACCGAAAAATATGTAGGTAGATACCACGCTGGATATTTCGCATCTGGGATACAATCCTTTTGCTTTAATGTAAATTGCAAAGCAACTAAAGTGATTATCTAAGAAGCAACAACTCATCAATAAATGCAATTATCTTATACATTATAAATTCATTTGTACAACGGTTTACTACTTGCTTGTCTGTCAAGCCAACAACCACGATCTAATGTCCATATGTTCTCGTGCGTTCCATGTTGAATATCAAAGTTAATAAGAATTTCACTGTTATATTAATTGAGTGATACATGTCAATGTGACAATATAAACACATGAAACACAAAACAAAATATTTCTTGAAAGAAATAGAACTTTTCCAATTTACTATGATGAAACAAATAGTCTCTTATCAATTTATCCTCAACTGAAAGCGGTGGCAAATGAAATCCTTTCATGGGAGTCGGCATACTCAACAACTTAGGAATATGTTTTTAACTAATAATTAATAACATTTTCATAAAGTATGTAATTGATTATTCTCCTAAAAATGAGTTTCTATAAGAAAACAGAAGTATACATTTTTCGAATGTTGTTCAGGAAACACAGCTACTTGTTTATTTTTCATGGTATCTTCTTGTATAACATAAATAAGTCAGTGACTAAGTTCATTTCTAATGAATTATTCTTAAAAAAATGTTATGTGTACAAATATTATTTATTACATTTTCTCAATATTGGGGCAACATGTCAAGTTGTTTGCTTTTTATATTATATTTTTGCATATCATAAACAAATCAATAACTACTTTCAATTCTAGCAACAAAGCAAAACAAAACAAAAAAAAAAAAATAAAAAATTAATGTATCTTACCTTGTCAAGTTCAACATCACAGGGTGAAAGTATATATTTGCTTTTTTTTTTTGTTTCATTTGTTTTCGCTCCTAAGCTTCATATGATAAGGCAAAACTATTGAAGACTCGGCACCATCATCTACCGAAATTGACCTTTTTAAAATCACTTTTGGTAATTTTGGTGATAGTAGCTCTTGTTCAATAAAAAGGGGGGCAAATGGAGATACGGACGATATGAATTGATCGCATAATGGAGTCTTAGGCAATCCCTCATTTTCTTCTTTGAGTTATTTATCCATAGGAAACTTATGATCTTGGAAAGCATAAGGTGAGGGACTTCATTTGTTATCAAATATATCTTCCTTTTCCAACTGACAATCAATATCATGAGTGTTTCTCCTTCTCAATGGCCCATGAATAATTAGCTATCTTTAAAATTGCTATCAAAATCTCCTCTTCTGTCGATTCTATTCATTGACTGACACCAATGGCTAAGTTATTCAGGTTTCATTTCAAATCTTTCACTTCTTTTTAAATATTACTTAGCCGTGCATCTATGTTTGCCTCTATACTCACATCATTATCTTCAACGATAAAACAAACCTATTAATAAAATAATAACAAACATGTTAAACAAATTCTTTAATTACAACACGTATACAAATTAAATTATATAATACATAAGATTACCTTGTTGTTGTTTTGGTATTGAAGTTTTTCCAACATAGAGATTTTCTTTTTAATCACCTCATCTGTCCAATGTACTAAACGAGGTGCTTGTCTACTTGCACATGGACTAACAAAATCCACAACAGGTGTCACATGCTCAACGTAGAATAATTACATGATATGGTTATGTAATGATTAGTAAGTTCAAGAATACACTAAATGGACAATCATTTGTTTACCATGATTTAGAAACATACTATGAGAAAAAAAAGAAACCTCGAATTCCTCGTTGTCCCTTTCCTTCTCCTTTGTCCGTTTACTTTCGCACACCATCGACTAAAAAGTCTAAGACGAGTATTGACCAATTTAACTTATGTAAAGCAGACATATCCTTCAAGGAATGGAGAAAACAACGATTTATTGACAACTCCGATGTAGGCCACAAAAGGGAACCTAGAATGTACAATACAAATCTTTCCTTAAAATCATCCCCGTCTACTTTCATATTAGACAACTCATTCCTTGAAGAGCTTAATGAAATAGAACCACACTTCTTAACACCATACTTGTTTGACAACTCTTCAATATCAATGTGGTCCCCATTTAATTTTATAATTGATAGAAGTCCTAATATGTGGCTTACATCAAATGGTGTTATCATTATTGTTTTATTATGCATGATTAAATAGCGAGATGTAAGATCAAAACAACCAACCAACCATTCGTGCATTTAGGATCTAATAAGGCTCCAAAACCAATTGATTTGATAGTTTCTTTTTGTAATGGTTGAAGCAATTGTATTAACTCATAAACTGAGTTCAATTCTATCCGAGTTGTCATCGTTAGCTAAACACAATAACAACAAATACATTAGACCAAATTTAAATTTCAAAACATACTATGAAAATTTAATCCTATATTAAAACACTACAATTAAATCATACTATTAATATCATTAATTTTTTATAGTGTTCTTTCATTGCATTCTATAAATATTGTATATATATATACTTTTAAGATTACTCGCCCAAGTCTAGCAAAAGCACGTAAGTCCCAATTACTCACCAATAGGACAATTAATCAAGCCTACATATCTATCAATTCTATAAACAAAAACGATAATAGAAATGGGCCCTCATGGGCTATATTGCTTTAAAAAAAATAGAAACAAAACAAAAAATCACAAATGAACCATATGAACTATCTTGCTTCTAAAAATAAAACCAATAAAGCATATGGCCACATATAAACAGTGTCCAAAGCAAACCAGTGATAGATATGTGACCGCCAGGGACTATCTTACTTCAAAAAAATAATATCAATAAGGCCAAAAAAAAAAAAAAAAAACACAAATGGGGCCATCATAGATTATCTTACTTTTAAAAACATATGGTGTTTATCGATCTTGAGAAAACATATGACAGAGTGCCCCGAGATATAATATGGTGGGTGTTAGAGAAGAAAGGGGTGACAAAAGGCTACATTGACGTGATTAGAGACATGTATGAAGGGATGGTGACCACTATTAGATCGCCAGCTGGAGAGACAAATGAATTTCTTATCACTGTAGGGTTACACCCAGGATCTACCTTAAGTCCTTATCTTTTTGCTTTAGTTATGGACGAGTTGACGATAAATACTCAGGATGACGTGCCATGGTGTATGCTTTTTGCAGACGATATTGTGTTAGTGATGAGACTAGAGAAGGAGTTAACACAAAGTTGGAGATTTTGAGAAAAGCTCTTGAATCTAAAGGATTCCGGATAAGCAGAACTAAGACATAATACATGGAGTGTAAGTAACAGTAACAATGAAAGCAGAGGAGAAGTGAAGATTGAGAACCAAGAACTGCTTAAGAGTGAACATTTTCGTTATTTAGGGTCGATTATCACAACAGCGGGAGAGATTGATGCAGATGTGGCCTATAGGATTAAGGCGGGATGGTGTAAATGGAGAAGTGCGTCTGGGGTATTGTGCGATAAACGAATATCCACTAGACTAAAAGGTAAGTTTTATAGAACGGCTATTAGACCAGCTATGTTGTATGGGACGGAGTGTTGGGCAACCAAGAAACAACATGTAGATAAGATGAGTGTGGCTGAGATGAGGATGCTAAGGTGGATGTGTGGTAAGACTAGACAAGACAAGACAAGATTATGAATGAGTGTATTTGGGAATGGGTAGGAGTAGCACCGATAGGAGATAAGTTGAGAGCGAATCGTTTGAGAAGGTTTGGCCATATTCAATGAAAACCAACAGCGGCAGTAGTGAAGAGATGCGATGCTGTAACGGTAGATGGAAGTGTTAGGGGACGGGGTAGGCCTAGATTAACGTTGACTAGCGTTATAAATAGAGATATGAATCAACTTAATTTGACTAATGAAATGGCCTTTGATAGGGCCGCGTGGAGAAGAAGGATTCATGTAGCCGACCCCATTTGATGGGACTTAAGTCTTGGTTTGGTTTGGTTTGGTTTGGTTTAAAAACAAAAACAACGAAGCATGAGACAATACAAAAAATTCATAACCACGAGAAATTAATAAAAAAAATTCAACCATTTATTGTCTAGCAGAAAGTGTAAAAGTCCCCATTACCCACCAATGGGACAATTTGTCAACCATTCATGTCCCTCTATTCCAAAAACAATCAAGTGCATAAATGAAAAAAAAAAATAACACAAATGGACCACCATGAACCATCTTATTTTAAAAAAATAAGTAACAAAGCATATGAGACAACACAAAATTCATACCCACAAACAAACAAACTCCGAAGCATATGAAACAACCATATACCTAGTATTCTAGAAAGATGTGGGGATTGAGGGAAAAAAATGCCATCTCTAACCACATACTAAAAATTCAAAAAAATATCATACAAAAATAATTAATATATATATATATATATATGATTTTTACTCTATCCATCTACTTACCCATCTACTTTTGTCTTTGATTTTTAATTAAAAAAAAAAAAAGAAATAGGAGAAAAACAATTTAGAAAACAAAGAAACCCAAAAAAAATAAAGCCAAAAGTGATACTGTGGTGACATTTGTAAAATTTTAGTCTAAAAATTATTTTTTTCCTTTCAAAAGTAAAAAATATTTTTTACCGAAGTTAACCAATTTTTTATAGTCCATAAAAATTATTTTTTATTGTATTACGAACCAAAAAAAAAAAAAATATATATATATATATATATATATGTATGTACATATACAATCTATGTATGTACGTATAAGAATATCATTATATTGAACTAGGCAAACAAGTCTAAAAATATGCATATTTACTCCAAGACCCGTGAACAAGTTGGAGGAAGCCATCCAAAATATGTTGGAGTAAATATGCATATTTTTAGACTGGTTTGCCTAGTCCAATATAATGATATTCTTATACGTACATACATATATGTTGTGTATGAATTGTAACATTGAACGGTACATATATGTTGTGTATATGGTGCTCTGTTCATATATGTTGTGTATATGAAATGTACATACATATTCTTCTGTTGCAATCCCAAGGGTTTTTTTTTTGTTTTTTTTTTAATTTGATTTTTTTTTTTTTTTGGGTTCAAAATCATTTGAAAAGTGTTTCTTTTTTGTTTTTTTTTAATTTTTTTTTTTTTGTTTTTTTTTTTTGTGTGTTATAAAAATCAAAGACAAAAGTAGATGGGTAAGTTGACTTTATTTTTTTGGGTTTCTCTGCTTTCTAAACCTTTTTTTCCCTCTTGATTTCTTTGTTCAAAATCAAAGACAAAAGTAAATGGGTAATTTGGCTTTATTTTTTTTTGGGTTTCTTTGTTTTCTAAATCGTTTTTCTCCTAATTCTTTTTTTAATTGAAAATCAAAGACAAAAGTAGATGGGTAAGTAGATGAATAGAGTAAAAATCATATATATATATTGATTTTTTTTAAAAAAATTATTTTTGTATGGTATTTTTTTGGATTTCTAGTATGTGGTTGGAGGTGGCATTTTTTTCCCTCAATGCCCAAATCTTTTTAGAATACGAGGTATATGGTTGTCTCATATGCTTGGAGCTTGTTTGTTTGTCGGTATGAATTTTGTGTTGTCTCATATGCTTTGTTACTTTTTTTTTAAAAAATAAGATGGTTCATGGTGGTTCATTTGTATTTTGTATTTTTTTTTTTTTTCATTTATGCACTTGATTGTTTTTGGAATAGAAGGACATGAATGGTTGACAAATTGTCCCATTGGTGGGTAATGGAGACTTTGACACTTTTTGCTAGACAATATATGGTTGAGTTTTTTTATTAATTTCTCGTGGTTATGAATTTTTTGTTTTGTCTCATGCTTTGTGTTTTATGTTTTTTTGTATGGCGGCCCTATTTGTGTTTTTTTTTTTGTTTTTTTTGGGTCTTATTTATATTATTTTTTTGAAGTAAGATAGTCCATGGTGGTCACATATCTATCACCGGTTTGCTTTGGAGACTGTCTAAGTACATATATACAATATTTATAGAATGCAATGACAGAACCCTATAAAAAATTAATAATGTTAATAGTATGGTTTAATTGTAGTGTTTTAATATATGATTACATTTTCATAGTATGTTTTGGAATTTAAATTTAGTCTAATGTATTTGTTGTTATTGTGTTTAGCTAACCATGACAACTCGGACAACATTGAACTCAGTTTATGAGTTAATACAATTGCTTTAACCATTACAAAAAGAAGCTATCAAAACAATTGGTTTTGGAGCCTTATTAGAGCTTAAATGCACGAGATTGCCACGATAACTCTGTGAATGGTTGGTTGGTTGTTTTGATCCTACATTTCGGGGTTTATTTGTGCATGGTAAAAGAATAATGATAATACCATTTGATGTAAGCCACATATTAGGATTTCCTTGTGAGGGATCAATTATAAAAGTAAATGGGGACCACACTGATATTGAAGAGTTGTCGAACAAGTATGGTGTTAAGAAGTGTGGTTCTATTTCATTAAGCTCTTTAAGGAATGAGTTGTCTAATATGAAAGTAGATAGGGATGATTTTAAGGAAAGATTTGTATTATACATTCTAGGTTCCCTTTTGTGGCCTACATCGGAGTTGTCAATAAGTCATTATTTTCTCCGTACCTTGAAAGATATATCTGCTTTACATAAGTTAAATTGGTCAAAACTTGTCTTTTTAGTCGATGGTGTGCGAAAGTAAAAGGACAAAGGAGAAGGAAAGGGACAACGAGGAATTCGAGGTTACTTGTTTTTTCTAATGGTATGTTTTTAAATCATGGTAAACAACTGATTGTCTATTTAATGTATTCTTGAACTTACTAACCATTACATAACCATATCATGTAATTATTCTACGTTGAGCATGTGACACTTGTTGTAGATTTAGTCCATTTACAAGTAGACAAGCACCTCGTTTAGTACATTGGACATATGAGGTGATTAAAAAGAGAATCTCCCTGTTGGAAAAATTTCAATACCAAAACAACAAGAAGGTAATCTTATGTGTTATATAATTTAATTTGTATGCGTGTTGTAATTAAAGAATTCGTTTAACATGTTTGTTATTATTTTTTTAATAGGTTAGTTTTATCGTTGAAGATAATGATGTGAGTGTAGAGGCAAACATGGATGCACGGCTAAGTAATGTTGAAAAAGAAGTGAGAGATTTGAGAGGAGACTTGAATAACTTAGTTGTTGGTGTCAGTCAATGAATAGAATCTACAAAAGAGGAGATTTTGATAGCAATTTCAACAGTTAGCTAATGGGCCATTGAGAAGGAGAAACACTCTCATGATATTGATCGTCAGTTGGAAAAGGAAGATATCTTTAATAATAGATGAAGTCCCCCACCTTATGCTTTTCCAAGATCGTAAGTTTCTTATGGATAAACAACTCAAAGAAGAAAATGAGGGATTGCTTAAGATTCCATTATGTGATCAGTTCACATGGTTTGTATTTCTGTTTGCCCCTCTTTTTAGTGAACATGAGCTACTATCACCAAAGTTACCAAAAGTGATTTTAAAATGGTCAATTCTGGTAGAATGATGGTGCCCAGTCTTCAACAGTTTTGCCTTATCATATGAAAGCTTAGGAGGGAAAGCTAATGAAAAAAAAGAGCAAACATATACTTTCACTATATGATGTTGAACTTGACAAGGTAAGATATATTAATTTTTGTTGTTTTGTTTTGTTTTGTTGTTAGAATTGAAAGTAGTTATTGATTTATTTGTGTTATGCAGAAATATAATATAACAAGCAAACAACTTGACATATTGCCCAAATATGGACAAAAGGTAATAAATAATATTTGTACACTTAATATTTTTTGAGGAATAATTCATTAGAAATGAACTTAGTCACTGACTTATTTATGTTATACAGGAAGCTACCTTGAAAAATAAACAAGTTGTGTTTACTGAACAACATTTGAAAAATGTATACTTATGTTTTCCTATAGAAACTCATTTTTAGGAGAATAATCAATTACATACTTTATGAAAATGTTTTTAATTATTGGATAAAAATAGATTCTTAAGTTATTGAGTATGCCGACTCCCATGAAACAATTTCATTTGCCACCGCTTTCAGTTGAGGATAAATTGATAAAAGACTATTTGTTTCATCGTAGTAAATTGGAAATGTTTTATTTCTTTTACGAAATATTTTGTTTTATGTTTTATGTATTTGTATTGTCACATTGACATGTATCACTTAATTAATATGACAGTGAAATTCTTATTCACTTTGATATTCAACATGGAACGCACAAGAACATATGGACATTAGATTGTGGTTGTTGGCTTGATGGATAAGTAGTAAACCGTTGTACAAATGAATTTATAATGTTTAAGATAATTGTATTTATTGATGAGTTGTTGTTTCTTAGATAATCACTTTAGTTGCTTTGCAATTTACATTAAAGCAAAAGAATTGTATCCCAGATGCAAAATATCCAACGTGGTATCTATCTACATATTTTTTGGTAATTTATTTATGCATTTTATAATTGAAAGCACTTGACTATGTAACATGTCATGTTTATCTATAGTAAGCTTGTGTTATTGATATTTATTCTAATTTTTATGAGTTGTGGTAACATATTTTGCACCACAAGGTTTATAAGCTAAACGTGCTCAAGTCCTATTTTGGATAGGAAAACGGTATATGGAAAAAATTAAATCATGTAAAAGGGTATTGAGTTGTTATTATTTCACTTTATTTTCGTTTAATATGTTAATGAATAAGATACCAATGATTACTGATTTAATATAGGTGTACATTCCAATTAATGATGCGGGTAAACATTGGTATGTGTGTGTGGTATACATGCAACAAGAAGTGCTATATGTTCTTGATCCATATATATCAAGAAGAAGTAGAACTTAGCCAACTCAAGGGAAAAAAGTGATATACGTCCTTATACAATATTGTTATTTGCATTTTGCATTGCATGTTTTCGTATTAATTAGTTATGTAAATGATGGGTTGAAGTATTACATGACTTATTGGGAATTCAGTACAAGAATGCCTATACAAATAAAATCACCGAGTTTCTAGTTAGAACACTTGAATGGCTTCCACAACAATGTAATGGCTATGATTATGGAATGCATATCATCAAGTATTTTGAATTGGTACAATTTATTGATTCCGAAGTTTGTTTGCTAGAATTTGATTCGTGGGATGCAAGATAAAGATTGGCACTGGGCTTGTTCTAGATGCAAACAATAAAATTGGGTCAAGAGTGATAGAATTTACTTGTGATAGATAATTGTCATGTATCATTGATGTTGCATGTTGATACTTGAATTATGTGAATTTCAACTGAATTTGTTTTGGAGAGGATATAGAGCAAATGGATTTTAGTCATATGATTTTTGTCATTTTCTAGTAATTTGGATTTAAATTGTACATGAGCAGGATTTGAATTAATTATCACTTGCCATTTTATTATACTTCAATGACATTTTTCTTCGTACTTCATTAGATTGCACTTACTATTTTATTAGATTTTACTTTTTATTTCATTACTCTTGATTTATTATTTCATTGAACCATACTTACTAGTCGATGGGACTCCACTCAAATAAACCTCACTACTACTCAAATAGAGTCCGCTTACTACTTCATTACTCTTTGCGTACCATTTTATTCAATCATAGTTATTAGTCATAATGACTCTACTTACTAGTTTGTTAGACTTAACTTACCACTCAAATAGACTCCACTTACTACTTTATTACTCTTTGCTTACAATTTCGTTTTTACTAATCAATGAGACTCCACCTACCACTCTTTTACACTTCACTTACCATTCAAATAAGCCTCACTTATTACCACTCAAATAGACTTCACTTATTACTTTATTACTCTTTGCTTACCATTTCATTTTTACTAATCAATGAGACTCCACTTACCACTCTTTTACACTTCACTTACCATTCAAATAAACCTTACTTGTTACCACTCAAATAGACTCCACTTACTACATTACTCTTTGCATACCATGTCATTACACCACACTTACTAGTTAATAACACTACACTCCACTTACCACTTAAATAAATCTCATTTGCACTCAATTAAACCCCATTTAGTGCTAAATGAGACTCATATAATTCACATGTGACTACTGAAAATGATTGATCATTACACTAGTACATATAACTATTCACATGTGGCTATTAATAATGATTAAAATAATACTAATAGATCACATGTGTGTAGACACCCTATATTTGACCGTCCTCAAGACTTGGACGTCATCGCTTGTGCACTCGATGATTATGAGTGCATGTGCTTGTTTTGGTGCCTGAAGTCATCGACAGAATGCCTTGTCTTTGAGTCTTCAAGCCCTGTCCATTCTATACTTTGTTTTGGACCAAAAACCTTTGTGTTTCAAACCCAAAACTTTAGTGCTTTAAGCCTGCAACCCCTGGTGGCCAGCTGGCCACTATTTGAGGCTATCAGCCACCAATTATGCCCTGCTGGCTAGCCTTTAGTGGCCTGCCGGCCACCAGTGACCTTTATGCAGATATTTTGTTGACAGCTATTTCAGCTGTTGGCACATTGGGCTTCATCTCCATACATGTGTATAGATGGATATTTCTCAGCCAAATGCTTGTTTTTCTATATATATGGGGTCTCCCCTTCCATTTTTTAGGGTTAGAAATTTTGGAATAAAAATTTCTCTCTTTACATTTCTCTCTCTCGCAAATTTGTGCGCATTAGCCTAGTTACACTACACTTTTGCCTACACTTCCTTAACCAAAGTTGATCATCTTTGAGCTGAGGTTCCTTGAAACTGTCTTGGAGCTTTTGAAGGTGGTTTTGGCTTGAATTAGTGCCTAAAGTTTATTTTTGCTTCAAGAGGTATAATATTCCCCTTTTAAGCTTGCTTCGTTAGCTTTGTTTTTGGCTAATTGTTGAATTTGAGTCTTACTTTGCATGCCTCTAGTGTAATAGTCCCACAAGCTTGGTGTTTTAGGCCCTTAGCTTGGCATGCCTCTTTGAGGGTTGTTTCAACCTTAGGATAGCTTAAGCTTGAGATTGAGGTCCATGCTTAATGGTTTAATCTCCTTTTGGGGGTTCATTATCAGCGGCATGACACCTCTCTCTTGCCTTATATTATCCCTTGTTTGACACTTCCTTCTTTTTAGAAGACTCTTCACCAATAGACTTAATTGATTAAAGAATGGAAATATAATTAAAATGAGTAACTAAAAGTTGAAATTAAAATGGTACAAGATAAGAAATTGGTTGTGTTTTGATGTGTTCAATTGGACGTTAATTGAACACAAGAAAAATGGAGACATTTTATACTCAAAGTGATGAAATGTGCCAATTCTTCTAAGGTCTCCATTGCCCTTGACCATGCATGATAGGGTGATGGTTTTTGAGTCTTATTTGTGCATTTATTAACTTGTACATCTTGATTCTTTAGCCATCATGCAATGAAATTGTTTGATTGATGGTTTAGGGCCAAGTGTATCACTCTTTTGAGATATTTTGATGATAAGGAGGGATACATAGTACAAACAACCTATGAGAATACCCTCTCTTTGCCCTGTTTGCTCTCTGTTGTAGCAAGAGAAAAGGTGTGTCATTAGTGACTGGCTGGCCGGCCGGCCAATAATAGTGGTTGGACTCTTTGGTGGCCGGCCGGCCACTAATGAATTTTGAGCAGTGTGTTTGTGAAGCATGGCAGAGTTGATCTGGAGAAGGAAATTAGTGCAAGGGTCGTGCAAACAGAGGCTTTCGAGGGCAGACAGTGGATAGCATGCATGGTCCTCCCTTGCTTCTTGGGACTAGTTAATTAGTTTAATTAGCAATAGATCATTTATTTGTTGTAATTAATTAGTTGTAGCTAATTAGTTTACTTATTTAATTAGTTTAGATTAATTAAATTAGTTTGTGTTGTAATATTTAATTAGCTTAGCCTAGTTAAATTTTTAGCTTAGAGTTAGTTAATTAATTCAAGTGTTGTAATAATTAGTTAATTAGTTTAACTATTTATTCATTTTGTAATAATTAGCTTAACTAGTTAGCTAGTTTATTTATTTATACTTTCCTTCGTGAGAGCATAATGAAATAATGTGTATGTCTTCCAACCCCACGTCTTTCTGCCTTTTATTTACTCGCTTTTGATGGTTAGATTAGGGATATGTTTCAATTAGCATACCTTATGCTTGCATCTATTCATTTTGTATTGCATGCACCGAGGCTCGGTGCATCATTCAAACTATATTGTCATTGCAATACTTCGTTGGATACATGCTTAGACCGCATGTCTTGAATTAATTCATATGTCACATTAGTAGCCGAGCCTAGTAATTACATATCGCATGTATTGCATTAGTCATAATTGTATAGTTAGAATCATGCATTTTTCTAACTCTTTTGTTTATCTTTGTTTGGAGTACTAGGTGAGTTTTTTAACGCTTTAGCATACTTGCGTGAGTGCTGGTGATTGCCATGTCTAGCATGCTTGCCAGGAGGTTAAATGCTTAATTGTTAAACTGCTTGAATGCCTGTGGATGAAGGCTTGTTGTTTGAATTGGAATGATTCAATAAATGTAAGTTTTAAGCCCACTATGTCTAGTAGCAAATTCACAAACTTTAAAACAACTTGAGCGGGCAAAATCAAACCATTTTTGAAAAATAAACAGGAAATTGAATTGTTCTAATTCGAGCAAGCTAGTCTATACTTGTTTGTGCGCATCACATAGTAATGCTAGCCTAATAAACTAGAACAAGAGCATATAATGTTGATAAAAATCATATTATGATTAGTAGAGGTCGATCTTTGATCGGGCGAGCAGGGGTGCTCAATTTATGGCCTTCCTCTCTCATACCTAAGTTATTGAGTCGAGACAATTTTGGTGATGACGGACACGTGGCCTTTGGCACTAGTCATGGATTTCCTAAATTTTTTCAAAATAAAATATTTAGGTGGCGACTTTATATCTGGCAAAGCAGTCAATCTTTGACAATTTGATTCAAAATCGATTTTTCAAAAGATTTGTTGGATTTGGACTCTTTGGTATTTATCAATTTCACATTGCACTTGTGAGATTAGATTTAGAGCTGCAGGAGTCCGAACTATAGGATTATTTTTGAACTTCTGAAAGGGGGCGAGAAAAAGCAGAGTTACAATGTGACACCCTTATTTAACCTCACTTGTATACATCACACTTCACTACAAGCCTAAGTACTCAAAATGCTTAAACGAAAATTTGAAAATATTGCATCATCTAGCTTTACATTTAGTCATGGTAGTGATGATGATTTTCAAACACCTCGAATAATAGGTTCCTATACTGATCTATTAGGAAAGAAATGGTATGGAACCAAACGTCACTTCCATAATAAACCTCTTTTCATGCATGATCCATGGCAATTAGATATGGGTTACGTAATTATTGGTAATGCATACGATCGACCACCACACGGGGTCAATGTTGACAAAAACTACTTGTAATAGCAAGAACTCTTCGAAAAACGTTGTGAATTTGAAACATATTGTCAATGGCATGGGCTACGCGGTTCCACGGGCACGTTCAGCTAAACTATGCACAAACAAATCACGCGATGATGTGACAATTATATCAAGGCTACAGAGAGAGAATACACAAATGCAACAGAGATTGGATAGATTTCATTTCATTGAATATGCCAAGAAAAAACATTTTGATTGTGATAGTGCTATCACAGCAATCATTGAAGATCCATTGTTAGTTTATGATCCAAAAATTTCAGACTTCTTTGATGATAGTGATGATGACTTTGTAAACTATTTGCCAAATAGTTTATGTGTTCGGGGAAAATCATTATGTTGTTACGAACATGATGAATAAAATCATAATGGTAATTCTTGTGTTTATAAATGGTAAGTAACATAAGAATGAATAGTAAGTGTTGTGTTTAAGAATAGTCAATACAATAAGAATAAATATTAAGTATTTTGTCTGACAATGGTAAGTATTGTGTTTGAGAATAATAAGAGTCTCACTATCATTTGTATTATAAATATAAAAAGTCATATGTCTTATAAATATAAGCCTTACAAAAACGAGTAATGTCACAAAAAAAAATTAAAATATAAGATTGATTTCTTCGATTGCCTTGAAGATTGCTACAATCACTTTGACAAGTCAATTGT